GGAACAGAAATGTTTGTTAAACCCTGGTTTGGTACGAGCCTGAAGGACTGTTCCACTTTAATCCAGGGATTAAGATTATGGAACAGCCTGGAAGGTGAGGTTAAAAATGACAGATCTTTGTATTTACTGAAGAGAATGATAAAAATAGTATTCTGAAGATATATGGAGAATTATAAGTGAATTCATGCTAATTGTTGTTTGAGTTGGTGTTTTAAATTTAGTTTTCAATTCATTTTTAAGTGTTTTAAGTCGTTTTGAATTTTTATTGTATAATACTTTTCTTTTGAACATATTCTGGGTATAAAAAAGGGGCAGATATAAGATTTATTCCTCTTCTGCTGCCTTTCATTTCATTTGATTTCACTTTGATTGTGTTTTTTTGAACTTTGTTAATTTTGTRTTACATATGAAAAGAATAACCTTCTACTACTATATAATCCCTTTAATCCCATTTAAATAGCCTTTAGCAGCAAATGCAGTCAAACAATAATCTGTTTTATCCAAAACTTGTCCGAAAATGTTTTGACCATTCTTCATTATTTTAGAGTTTGTAAAAAAATGAGTGGATCACTTTACTGAAATGGTAAATGGCTGTTCTTATAAAGTGCCTTCTTAACCAACCAGGCTACTCAAAGTGACATAAAAACAAGTTTAGACTGAATAAACTCTGAATAAAATTTAGAATAAATTATAGCAGGTAAAAGTCGCACAGTGGACAGACAGGATTCATTAACACATAAATAGGAATTTATTATAAACTCTTTTCTACATTCTGAGCAACTTTCATGACAATCTGTTGACCAGAAAGTGGTTTTAAAAAGCTGCAGAATCAGGATGACTTTAAGAAATTTTGCGTCTTTTCTTTGTCCCACTAAAGTTGCCGTAACTTCCGTAATTCATAATTATTTTTAGTAAAATTTGTTTGATTTTATCATTTTKATCTGCATCCAATAAAATGACTTTTATACAATTTGGGAACTTTGATATTGCAAAAAACATAGAAGAAGCACAAAATAAAAATGTTAATATGTCTTAAAATTAGTAATTCATTCTCAATTTTCAAAATCGTGGAAAAATCAAATCAAAAATAACAGTTTTCCCTACAGGGCGAAGAATCTGATATGCATCGTAGGCATAGTTCCACAGATGATTTTATACGTAAATCAGACTACATAAACCACACAAAAAATGTTTCAGTGCCTCAAAGAAACAACAGGTGCTTAAAAAAACATGATCCTGTAAACATTAAAGATTTTAACACTCACCAGTTTTCTCCTTTTTCTTTAGCAGCATGGTTCTCTTCATCATCACTGAAGTTGAGTTTTTCAGTGTAATCCACCTCCATCTGAGCTCCTGAGTGGCACAACACATGATTGGTAAACAAAATCTGTTTTAAAATTAATTTAAATCTCCTAAAGTTGTCCAGTAAGTCAAATATTGTTCATTTATAAACGATGCCAGATTATTATTCATTGTAATGAAGTCCTGACCTGCCCAACCCTCATCAGCATCAGTGTCTAAGTTGTCCAGCTCCTTCAGTTCGGTGGCACTGATGATGGAGGGCCTGTCAGGGTCTTGGAGCCAGGACTGAGGGACTGGCTGCTGTGGTCTTGTAGAATGAGGACCCCTGAGAACCAAACAGAGAACAGAGCATGAGCAGGTTCAGACCTGAACAACAGACTGATTTGTACAAATCTAAGTTGCATAATAAACATCAGAAACCAATCAATAATGATTTAACACAAGTCAAATATTAAACAAATTTATGAGAAATTAAAGTGGATACACAGGAGTTAGTATATGTATGTTTAGTGATATTTTAATAATGTGCATGTTTACAACTGTGGTATAAAACATCTACAGTCAGCCATGAAATTATGACCACACATATACCGTATTTATTAGTGTATAATATGATCTCATGTATAATACGATCTCATGTATAATATGATCTCATGTATAATACGATCTCATGTATA